CCCCCCCCCATTTCCAAAGCTCCCCAGCACTAGCCTCACCCCCAGAACCTGCCCTGCTTCTCTTCACATAGCCCTGAGCTGCCTCCCAGCTGAGCACTGCTGCCTGGGTGGCGGTGGCTCTAGGGCTGGGGTATGCCACCCAACGCCTCTCCTCCCATTGTGGCTGTTGGGAGGGGCATGTCCTGCCCCACCTCTCAGCCAACCAGCCCCAGGCAGGGGAGGGGTCTGCTCTCACTATCTTCCTTATCATTAATGTGAAGGGCGGCTCAAGGAAGCGTAAGCTCAAGTTAGTTCAGTTGTATATGATTTTTTTCAAGATAGTTTCACAGAAAAGACCTTTACACAAAACGATCATCTGCATTTCTCAAAAGCAGAATGGAACGAACCAGATCTTCTCCCCACAACTCCTGTAGTAAAGCAGATCAAATCAGAGAAAGAGTAGGAGAGTTGTTTTTGGCATCCTTCGAAGAGCAGTATGCTGACCTTCCTGCAGATGAGTGTCAGGGTTACCTGGACACACAATGTGACACTAAACCCCTAATGAAAAATCAATAGCTTAATCTTCTCTTGCTTGCTGCATGCACCAGGTATCCATAAGAAAACCCACAACCCAGCAGCCTGAGGGCTGGGCACAGATGGCTGGAAGACGGGAAAGAGGCTGCTTGGAGTGACCCACGCAGTGACTTGGGCAGGAAGTGGCAGGTCCCAGTGTGTGGGGGCAGTTGCACAGGGATGAACGGCTCAGCATTTGCATAGCTGCAGCCCCCAGCAATGGCGCTGCATGGGAGAATTGTGCCACCAGTCTACGGGCCCGGCTCAGAGCCAGTGGCTCCTGCAGATCCCCTGCTGACCAGAGCAGGGCTCAGGCACGGAGGCCAGTGGACAGGGAGGCCTGTCACACCAAGCCTGGGCCACGGCAGGACAGACCATGCCAGGTGGGAGTCACACTCACCCCTTCACGGTGTGGCATGACTGGACCTGCACTGCGCAGTACCACCCAAATGACCTCTCTTTGAGCTGCTTCACAGGAAGAGCCTTGCTGGGCTCCGCGTGGCACCTCTCCCAACAGCCATGGCAGGCAGGAAGGCGCTGGCAGCATGCCCAGCCCCGGTTCCCAGAGCATCCGTGGCCTGGCAGCCAGCAGACCAGCAGCTGGGAACTGCTGACGTAGAATACATTGCTGAAGTTGGCTTACATTAAGCCGAGCTTGGCAGCGTCCACACCGCAGGAGGCTGACTGGAGCAAATACTCCCATTCGCTTCCCTTACTCCTCACAAAAGCAGGAGTACCGGACGCTGGTCAGGGTGGACTCTGAGCTTGATTTAGTGAGTCTTAACTAGACTGCAGTGTAGACATACTTAACCGGTTGACTAAAGGCAGAAGCTACACTAAGGAGTATAATAACTGAAGCAGTAGTCTATTATGAACCAGATCAAATACTACAAATCTAAAAAAGAACAATCAATATTTTAGAGGAAAGCGTATTTCCTTGACTCATGAAGTTTTGAAAGATCTACCACTGCGGTATTCCAATATACATTTCAGCAACACTAGTGAAAGGGCAGTATCTGATTGCTTTGGGTTGAGATTGACTGAAATCTTTCAAACATCATAATGAATAAATAGTGTTTGTAAAAGGCAAAGAAAAAAGAACACTTTATCCAGCTTCTGAAACAGGCTGAAGAACAATGAAATACGTATATTTAACTATGCATTGTTGATGCCATTACTACAGATCACATTAGACATAGGACATACCAGGTAAAGCTCTGATACAGATTTTATAGAGGGTTTGAAAGGCCAATCATGCTGGTCCCAGTTTAAATATAGTTGCAAATGAAGCTCAGGCAAGGAAAAGTCCAGATGCTGGCAGGAGAGGATTGGTAGCAAACAGACAGCCCATGTTAAGCAAAAGTTTGATAAGCAAATATGAAGTAATAAAAGCATGCATGCAAAAAACAGAAAAGATAACAATTAAGAAACAATTCAATGCCATTTAAATCTCAGACCAATAAATAAATATGCAAAATAAAACCTATAAGTAATGAAAGCTTAAATAAAGTAAAGCGCAAAACAAGCATTTAGACATAACTGATTAAATTAAATACAAAATTTAAAAGAATCACATCCTTTACTGCACTCTCATCACGAAGCTTCACAAAATTTTAGCAGCTGTCAAATCTCAATTTCAATGTTTCTTTCTAGATAATTGCCTCAGGTGCTCAAGTTAATTTTTATTTTTACCAATTGCCTACCAGCCACAAGGGTCACCACTATTCTCCTCAAAAATCACTCAAAATTAATCCCTGATGGCTGTTACAGACTAATGGGGAAAATCTGGAATTACAGGAGTGGGGTTCCACACAGATATAATGCGACCAATACATTTTGGCATCACTCCAAGTAAGTATCTAAAGTGAGTTACTAATAAGTATCTAAAGTGAGGCCAGAATAATTCCATCTGCTGCACACATATTTACAATATGCTTCATAAGATATATTAGTTACCTAACATATTAAGGGGCTGTGTCTAGACTGGCAAGTTTTTCTGCAAAATCATCTGCTTTTGCAGAAAAACTTGCCAGCTGTCTACACTGGCCGCTTGAATTTCCGCAAAAGCACTGACCATCTCATGTAAGATTGTCAGTGCTTTTGTGGAAATACTATGCTGCTCCTGTTCGGGCAAAAGTCTTTTTCTGAAAAACTTTTGCGCAAAAGGGCCAGTGTAGACAGCAGAGATTTATTTTCCCCAAAACAGCCCTGATGGCGAAAATGGTGATCGGGGCTTTTTTGCAGAAAAGCATCTGTGGCCAATCTAGACGCGCTTTTCCGAAAATTCTTTTAACGGAAAACTTCATGCCAGTGTAGATGTAGCCAGGGTGTGTCTAGACCACAGGGTTTTGACGACAAAAGTGGCCTTTTGTTGACAAAACTATACCTGCGTCTGCACTACTGCCGAGTTCTGTCGACATAACATCGATAGAACTCGGCAGTTTTATTGACAGTGGTAAACCTCATTCTACGAGGAATAACACCTTTTGTCAACAGAGTTCTGTCGACAGAAGCCGTTATTATATCTACACTGCCCTTTGCGTCTACACTCTCATGTCAACAAAGCGGCTTGCTTTGTCGACAGAACTGGATGTAGTCTAGACGCTCTTTGTCGACAATATCTGTCGACAAAGCCCCTGTTGACAGAAGCCTGTAGTCTAGACATATCTATAGACAGCTGATCTCTGATAATTAACCATTTGCCAAGTATATTCAGCTTTAGTTAAAAAAAATTCCAGGAAAGCAGGAAGTGACTCTTTACATGTATAAATTACAATTTGATACCTCCATGGTTCATATGTGTCATCACCGTATTTGTCAAAAGCAATGTAAGAACTACCTACTACTCAGTTTTCTTTTGCCTCTTCTAAATGGAAGATGTCAATGAGAAATAGCACAATACACAACATGTGAAAGCAGTACATATTCATTATTTGTAGATCTTAAAAGTGCACAAACCCTTTTTTCTTTTTAATATGGTTACAAAAAAGGGGTGACAATTTTATCTCCAACTACAATTTTTATGACCAAGTCACAAAACCTTGGAAAATAAGGTTTATAATGGAAAATATAGTTCAACCTTTCATATCATTGTTCACATATAATAATGGAGTGAACGAACAAGAATATATATTTTAAAAATCTGTTTCCTGCAAACATCTTGGTATAAACTTTAACAAGAGCAAAATTAAATGATTCTTCAACCCAATATAAAATAGTGTATCCTAATTTGTTTATATATAAGCACATATCAAAAAAATAAATCGAAACAGTTGAAAAATGTTTTTTATACATTGCCATATTTTTTGTACAATGAAGTTCAGAGAAATATTTTGTTCTTGCTTAAGTAACTGGTATCATATGACTCAACTAATACCAGTTTTAAAGGTTCACATAGGTATTCTTGGAATTTATTCATTTCAGGCCAGGCCCTCTCCTCGAAACACAGAAGTATACTTATCAAAGGAACATCACTTTTTATAAAATGGGAACTATTTTGAATCCTCCCAAAGCAATATATTTATAGCTGAAAATCAGCACTTTCAACAATGTACCCTTCAAATGCAGCCCAAGACTTAAATCAGATCATGCACATCTCTCTGCATACTGGTATCGGACTTTTGCGACATTTAACCACTGTAACTTAATTCCCATGTTTTACCATTGGTTTCATATTCATGGGACAGATCCTGACTTGCCGACATAGCTCCTTTAATGTCAATGGAGCTATGCATTTTACACTAGCTGAGGATCTACTCTAATTTTTGAAAGATCAGAATAAGGAATAGCTGAGGTTTAGTATGGAGTAACTGATTTGACATTCTGCAGGGAAGAAAGTGACACTTCTGTAATAAAAATCATATTGTACAATTACTGAACAGTCTTCACCTCTCTCTGATCATTGTCAAGACGTAGGTGCTCAGTGTGTTGTTTTTGTCTATCTTTCCGCCTCCACTGCGCGGGAGCATTTCTTTTTGTCCATCTACAGATCAAACAAGATTATTCATTAGATACCAAAAGTTCAGCTGCAGAGGAGCAAAGGTTTCCATTTTAGATTGCTAACAGGGTCTGTCCACATTACAAAAAATACTCACTGACAACGGGCATTAGCAAGAGGCATGCCAGAACCAGTGCCAAACATAGGTTAGCTACCAGCACACACAAGGAAGACTGTATTTATCACCTCTTTGTAAGTAGCGAACCAGTGATGTTTGAAAATAAAATCTTCCTGGAAGAATATCTTCTTAGGGAAAAAGCAAAAACATGGTCTTGGGCACTTAGTTTCTAGTTTCCATTTCTTTTAGACTTCTTGGTTACCTCTGCAGTTACTAATCACTTCTACCTCTTTCCTCCCACATTATGAGACGGTCCCGTATGTTAAGCCAGGACTACTCAACACATGGCCAGTGGTGCAGTTTGTTTGCGGCCTGCGGTGCAGTTTGAGTTTATGCAGGGCTCAACACACTGTCCATAAGTGGGTACCAAAACAAACAAGTAGTCAATATAATGGGCTTCTGTTGCAGTTTAGTAGTTAAATTACTGCATTGTCATTGCTCATGAAAAGTGCTGTCATATGGGAGGAAATAGGGTAAATAGTACATTTATTAATATCAGCAGAACTGACTTAAATGGGGCCTGCGTGTTGTGTAGTCTTACTTTAATTTTTGTATTCATGCCCATCAGTGTGAAAGAAGCTATTGCATATATATTTGCATGTATATGCAACCACACTTAAGTTGCAGCCCTCAGCATGTGCTGTGAGTATCACTGTGGCCCCCAGGGTTTCCAAAATTGAGTAGACCTGTGTTAAGCCATTAGCTCATAACTGAACTGTAGCACAGGACTCTCTTTTAATCTGTATCAATTAAAGTCACGTAAAGACTTGAACTCTGTCCCTACTGCAATAATGGCCTCCTTGGTTCAATTTGTTTACTAAAAGGATCCTGGAGAGTCCACCAGATTCTAGTGTCATTCTGACATTTCTCATGAAAAAGTGATTAAATTTGCATTTTTGACATCTTAAATTTGGGCTTATGCTTTTGATGTCACCAATATCCAAAGCACTATAAAGTTTGCATACTCACTTGTTGCTTGCTGGTCCTGTGGAGAGTACGTCAGACTGAAGTTTAGGGAAAAACCCAAGCTCATACTTTCCTTGTCCAATCTTCATATCTAACAAGTGTGGGTGGACTGCAGTGTGATCTATTTTCACAAGTCTTAACTCAATAGCTTTCTCTGAAAGTTTTTTTTTAAAAAAAAAAGACATTTCTTAAGCATGTAACTTTACAGATAGCCAGTGCTCTAAAAGTGAACAAGTCTCTACTGTAACAAAGGACTGCAACCAACAGCAGGGAGATGCTTGTCTTATTGGGAACGTCCCATCCTCAGGCAGGTGATGAGGAGAACAGAGCTGATTTCATCCTTTGCAGATCTCTCTCAAAGAGCTATCTCGCTATCTCAGGTTCTCCCATTTCCCTTTCCATGAGAATTTATTCCTACACCAGAGCCTCACTCTTCAACTCTTCTCTTTTGTTTTTAAAACTCTAAGACGTTTAGCTTCAAATTATGGCAGATAAAATTTCTTATCTTAACAAGTTGTCTAATTTTGAAGATGCTAGTGAGAATCACTTTACTTGTAAAAGAAATTTACTCTTACCTGCCTCATCAATGGTAGTACACTTTTGATACATAGATGTGCGCAGAGTTGGCGTCCTAACATTTAACAATCTAATTTTATCTACTCTAGAATCAAACACTCGCAAAACTGGGTCTTTGTCATCTTCATCATGGCACATAATCTTATTGTCAATAAAAGATGCAAACATCTGTGTCTCCAGAAATCTTGAGAGAAAAGGCAAGTAAGGTTCAGGCTGGTCTGATAGGAAAGATGCCTAGTGAAGAACAAGAGACAAACTTTATTTTTTTATATATTATACATGTATGAATGATACTCTGTTACAGTTCTGTATTTCATTTAAGCAAAAATATTTCTAACCAAGGACATATTGAAGAGTTTGAGACACATCTAAAACCTTTTGTTTTTGAGGAGGGAAGGGGTTGGAGACATTGTCCCATTTTACTCTGCATGCCAACTCCATCTTGAAAAATATACTATGCACATTTTTTTAGTTTGCCTGACAATCATCTATTTTCAGCACTTCATTTACAACAAAAATATAAAACGGACATTAGAAAAACCCAACATTTTGAGATTTTAGCTGAGCTGATCTCCCCTTGTGGCTAAACCAAGACTGTATATACACATTATACACTTATTTTTTGAACCAAAGCCCACTGAGGTCAATGGGTGTCTTTTCACTGGCTTCAGTGGACGTTAGTTGAATCAATCCGAGAACGTAAGTCTTCCCGGCCCGTGGCAGCGAGCCTTCAAGCCCAGGTCGACCAACACAGGCTCATGCTACTGTTTTAAAAACAACTCAATCAACATTGCTCCGCAGGCTAGTTCTTGGAATCTGAGCCTTACGGGAGCTGAGGAGAACCTGTTGTCATCTACCTCATTTTGTCCTCTACCACCAGCACTAGAAGATCTTCAAATCAAATACATACCATTAGTAGAATAATGTATCAGCATTAGTAGAATAATGTATCAAATGTATACATTTGATAATGTATCAAAGTAATAATAATCAGCTCTTTCACAGTTGATTGGAAGGGTTCAGTGAAGAAACTAAAATGTTCACAACATACCTTTCCCACTCCAGCCCCATTTTCTGACTACCTCTAATAACTTGTACTTTCAGATTTCAGTAATAACTATTTAAACAAATATGACTATGCTTTGTCCTTCTTTTCTAACTTACTTTATCGAAGTTCTGCATCTGCTCCCTGTTGGTAAACCAAGACTCTTTGTCCTGACTGGGCTGAATGACAAACACTTCATAGTCGGCGAACATCTGCGTAAAACGGTTGGCAAAAACTTCTCGGATTTGAATGTTCAGCTGGTAAATCCGGAATTCTTCTTCTTCACACTGAACTTTGAGATCCTTGTTGCTACTGGTCTCCTCTCGTACTTCCAACTGAGAGAGTAAGAGAACATGCAAGAACAAAATGTATTCCTACCTTCATAGGTGGTTTAGGTACATAAGGAATTAAGGCCCACTTTGTTATCCAACTGTCATTTCTCCAATAAATATTCTAACCTATAACCCATGAAATTCTAAACAATGCGATCAAGGAGAGTAACATTTAATAATTCACCTGTTAGTATACGAGATTAGAGTTCCAATCATTAATATTCAAAATGCTAAAAATGAGCATTTTAAAAAGATAGATAAAATATTGAAAACACAGAGATCATTTACTTTCTTTGTTCTTTAAATAAAAACACTTATGAAGACACATGAGACTTTATTATCCACACATTTTTAGGTGATTATGCACTTTTCAGGTGGATCATAAATCCGTATTTCTTACTAATCCAAATCATTATGTATTGACCTTCATATTAATAAAGAGGTGCATAATCAAAAAAAGTTCTGGCACCCTTTATTTGAAAACCATACCCTTCTCCAACAGCCAAAAAAATGCAGTAAAATGTCATTTCAAAAAGGACATGGGCTGAGGTTTTCTAAATTACACATATGATCTGGAGGCTCATTTCCCATTAATTTTAACAGGAATTGGGTGACCGATTCATTAAGAAACTATGAAAATCTCAGTCATGACCAACTATGTACAATTTCTGGAAGAGTGCATATTCATGTATCTCGACTCAGTTTTGGGATGTAGTACTATAATAAATAATTTCATGGAATTAGTCTACTTTATGACTTGCACCCACATACAACAGCTATCCAGTGCATTTTAAGCCACACTGATGACACTAGCAAGCTTCAGTGTTTGGTACAAAGTCTTTAGCCAAAGACCAGCTGTACCCATAGATTCTACGATGATTTCTCTCCAGTTCTTTCCGACTCTATCCTAGATGTAGTGATTAAAATTTTGAAATTACTTCTAGCTTCAGAGCCAGGCACTACAGGCTAGTCAATTCAGGATTGGTTTTTGTTTACCAAACAATTTAAAAAGAAAAAACTGCCGAAGTTATGCCCCTACATCCAGAATCAGACATTTTTACATAAAATTAGTAAATGGGGAAGGGCAGCTTCGAAACAATTTTCTAAAATGGAGGAAAGTGCAGTGAGGCCAGAATGCACAGAAACTCACAGGAGATGGACACTCCCACTATTTGCCAATGCAATAAACAAAACAAAAGCTTCTTCACAATTGCCCCCAGCCCAAAGAAAAAACAATGCAAGAGAAAAATCTGAGAAAACAGAACTGATTTGAGAGTCTAGTATCAACAGCTGAATGCTTACCTTTTCTACCCTAATGCAATTTTCTTTCCCCCACTGCAGCTCTACTCCCCAAAGCAGTCCTACAGCAGTCAGTTCCTTCATTTAATCTCCCCTCTTGTAACACTAACTTAAGCACCACAAGCAAGAACCAGCCTGATAAAAGGGGATATCTGTGGGGAGCAATTTAAACATGCAAGACAAACAAACCTTATAGAGAGAATCTTCCCTCCATATCCAAAACGTAAAACTCAAACCTTGGAGTCCTTTCAATAATAGGCTGGTAGGGTCCCATTTTTAGAGGTCCTGAGATTCTCTGAGCCATACATGCTCAGTATCTCTGAAAACTAGGCCCTAAATGCCCAAATATTAATGAATAAAACCGCCAAGCATCCCTGAGGCAGGTACGGTAATATCCACATTCTACAGGTGGAGAAACTGAAGCAGGGAAATGCCAACACATCAATTTCTACGTGTTATTTGTGGCGACTAATCAGTGTTGACACATATGCACTTTTTCCTGTTGGAAAGACACTACCAGAAGTGGCGGACCCCAGTGTAGTGGAAGATCTTAGTGTCTTAGGCAACTATTTTTAACATGTCAAGAGGGCAAGGCAAACGTTTGGTGGAGCCAAAGAGTTAACCTCAACCATATCCAAACAACTCACCTCTGTCTATACTAGGATGTTAATAAGGGTTAATTAATGTACTAAAAGTACATTTATTTCTAGTGAGGTAAGGCCCAGGTGTTTAGACCATCACTCCCTAAATCTCTCTCACTCATTTGCCAATCACCACAATCCAACAGTACAGCTCCCAAAGAGAATACATGCAATTCCATAACTTACCTTTTCTAGGCTCACCCCTGTTCTTTTCACAAGTGCTTGCAGCCTTGCTATGGTCTCATTTTCCTTTAGCAGTTCATAGGAATTTAGAGGTGACCCAGCTATGTTCCCATTTCTCTTATCAGAAACTATATCACATACTCGGAGGTTTTTCATCTTTGAGGCACTTTCACTACAGTGCAGGTTTCCCTCGGGTGGAATTCCAAAAGCCATTAGGATCTCAGAGATTTCCTGAATGAATTCAAGCTTATTGGGGAATTGGGGCAAATCCTCTGGCAGTTCAATGAAATGGTTGTCTATGTCCACAAAGCATAGGTTGGCCTGCAAAAGTAAGTCAGAACAATGTAACAGTAAGCTTCAAACAAAAAATGTAAATGCTTTATAAGAAAGCATTTTACCGATTGTATATGGACTCTTGAATGCAAGTCTATAACACAGCCTGAATCTGTTGGCCTTAAGAGCATACTGAAAGGCATGGTTTCCCAATACATTAAGGAGACAGCCATGGTAAGGATCCTGAGAAATCCTAGCCACACACCAAGGAGGACACTAAGTCATGTGCACCTTGGAAGAATGGCTGCTCAAACTCTGCTGCAATCACATAAATTAATGCTGCCCCTTCCATATTATGATAGCCTTGTTCCTCTCAACACCCATGCAGAGTTAAGTTTGTATGGTTAGGATATAAAGGAAATGTTACCTTATTTCTTTATTTCCCAGATTAAAAAAATAAAACTGTGGTGCTTTTTGTATTGTAACACTAACCTTTTTCTAAGAGGCAAGCTCTCTAGGGTGAAGACTGTATTACTGTAGGTCTGAACAGAGCCCAGCATTAGGGCATAAGGTTCTCGGTTGGTCCCTAGGCCCTACGTAACAAACAATAAAACAAAGAGTGGGCATGTGAAGGGCCACTAATGCCACATTCCCTGATTTTTAACACTTGAGCATAATGAATTAAGACCCATGTTCAGTGGGAGGTGCAAAGGGGAATAGTCCATATTCCTAACTTGGACTCAATAACAAGGATTCTTGTGTTTTAAAGGGCTCAAAATTGTTTTCGTGCAGTAAATAAATTGAGTATCATGATGTTTAGCACGAGTTCATCTTCCAGCCCTTAAAAGCAGATTTTTAATGACACGTGCACTGGTTTTACAGTCAGCACCCGTGTAATTTTAACAAAATAAACATTAGGGGCACATATAGCTTCCAGTACTAGCCTTTAGATACATGCCAACTGCAGCTGTTTACATCCAAACATCTGTTACATCTGAAGAGCATCCCTCCCGGGCTTTTTTTAAACCATGTAGCATTCCACGGATTCACGAGTCAGGAAGCTCATGTGTTTTAAGTAGATGATCCTGAATTTAGAAACTTCCCTGGGATTCTCAAATATCAATCAGAGGCTTTAATAACTGAAAGGCCCTATCCTGCAAATACCTACCAAGTGTACAAGAACTTGCAACACAGGGTACTGAATAATTAAGCCTCAGAACCTGTAATTGCTCAGAGCAACAGAACAAAAAAGTTTAATATCTGTCAAGTTGTTTTTGGAAAATTGCTGATGGGGCATCAGGGAAACATCTAATCTCTTGAGGTCAAGCTGTATAGTTTAAACTAATAATGTATAATTAGAGTCTGAAAATATCAAACTACATACTGGTGTAAATAAATGTATCTAGGACAGAGCAATAGCAAAAAGATATACCAAATCTACTACAAAGGCTACCGTTAGCTATAACCTTTAAAACACATTGATTTAAGTCAACCAATAAGAATGCACTGTTAAAAGTAACAAGTACAAATGGAAACGTTAAATTTAAAAAAAAAAATCTATGATTAAAATCAATGTTATTCCTGACTTCAATTGCCATCATTTAAATTAACCCTGTGTTGCAAGACTTCTGCACATTTGCATGATAAATGGGAAAGTGTTGATTTTTAAATTTATTTTCAAGGAAGTGGAAGAGAAAAGGCAGAGTCCATTAACTGACATTGTGTCCATTTGCAGTTACTGTCCCCCCCCCTTTTTTATACTATACAATGCATGAAGAGTTGGATCAATATGTTCTATAGAATTTTAAAAAAATCAAGTTTTTCACCATTCACTTCAAGAGCTCTTATGACTTACTCATGGGAGCATAGTAGGATTGGGTTATGAAAAACGCCCACCTCCAAAAATTATTTCTCTAATATGAGCCAGGTCTTGATTTGCTGTACACACACACACACACACACTTCTAAAATGCAAAACTAACTGTACAAGTTCAGTTTAAATAATGAAAAGATATTACCTGTTTAGGGAAATTGCTGATGGGGCATCATAAAGATTCTTTAGTTTCAAAGCCTAGGACATAACCATATTTACTTTGCCAGACAGGACTAAGCCTTATGGCTTATTTTGTCAAACGTCCTGCCTCTTTGCTTCAAAAGACATTTAGAAATAGATCACTCATAGGATACATATACACTGCAAAGTCTCACAAGGAGGAGCATCTCAGAGCCCAGGTTCCAGCTTGAACCTGTTAACTTAACACACAGCAATTTTTAGCCATGAAGCTCAAGACCTATGAGCTGGAGTCATTTGACCTGGGCTCCAAGACAAGTGCCATGGGTTGTTCCATTATGCAGGTTGGACCCCCAAAAACTGGGACTCCCTCATTTGGCCCCATCCATGGTCTGGCAGGACAACTGATGTTCCTGGACCAGGGAGTCCTGGCTGGAAACCCCAAAGGCAAAAGGGCTGGTGGCCCCAGAAGCACAAATGGGGTTGTGGTAGCCACAGTAGTGTGGCCAGGGATCCCGCAGCAGTCCTGATAGTGGGGCCAAGGATGCGGCAGTCTGGGCTGCCAGAATGTGGCAGCACAGTTGGGGGAGTGGCTATGACTGACAGCGGTGAGGGGAGGCCAGCTGGGGGCCAGTAGCAGGGGACCTCCCCTTGACGCACTAAAATGTTATGGGTTGAATGTTACAGCTGAATGTCCTGCCTGTAGCATAACCAAACTTTTATGGGCCAAAATAAAACGGGTTTCGAGTCTGTCAATCTTACAAATGGGATGGGTAAATCAATTTTCACAGATTCACATGGAGAAATCCCAGCCTCATAAAGTAAACGGCAAAACTCATTTTAAAGCCAGGAGGGACACTGTCCCTATAGAACGCCATCAGCCCACATCTACGCTATTAAGTGTTGTCAAGAGAACTTGTGTTGATACTCAAAAGACAAAGCAAACATTGCCAGAGGCTCCAGACTTGCTCCCTTTATCAACAGATTATGTCCGTACCAGGGGCACCATCATCGATGGTATGTGCAATGCACTGGGGGTATGTATCCCACAGGGCAGTGTTGTGGAAAGGCAGAGCTCCGAGTTCTCCCACAGCCACCTCACCTACAGGGAGCAGCGCCACGAGCAGCTCTGGGAGCTCTCTGTGCTGAGCAATGTCAGCGCTGCACAGCAGCTTGCACCCCACCCACAGTGGCAGCAATCTGCCTGCTTGTGTGTTCCTAGTCATAGGCAGTTGGTAATGTAGGCAAGGGAAGGCAAAGATTTCTCAAAACTGCCTACATGACCGACCGCCTGAAGCTGGGGCTGCCGCTGGGAAAGGCTGGAACTGCAGCGCGGAATCCCGGCTCTCTCCAGCCCCCAGGGAAGGTGGTCCAGCTCAGCAGCCTGGCAGGGGGAGGTGATGGGGCCACGGTGGGGGCAGTGCGGCTTTCCCTGCCACTGGGGAGGGTCAGCTGGGGGCATCACAATAGTCCCGGTTCTCTACATGGCCAGACAGGATCGGACTGAGGGTGGGATGGGTCTTGCCTCCCCCAGATAGGCTTTCACCCAACACCCATGTTCCTAGTGCAGGGTAGAACAGGAGCAGTCCAACGATTTGTTCTTTGTTCCCTAAAGGGAGCTATGAAAGGGGAGGGGCGCATGCCTGCAAGGCAGCAGAGATCAAAACTCAGCAGAGCCATCAGGGCAGGCATTGTGGGATAATGGCAGAAGTGAATCCTGTCAACAAAACAAACAGCAGAGTCTACACTGGCTCTTTGTCCACAATAAAAGGAGGGGGAAAGAAAAAAATGTCTCTCGTAAGGGTGGAAGTTTTTTGTTGCCAGAACTGGGCGTTTTTCCCCAGTAAAAGTCGCGTTGCATTGTGTACACACTCACCGTTGTGTCACAAAAAGGCAGTTTTTGCTACAAAACTTGGCAGTGTTCATACAGCCTCAGTAATTCCAGAGGAGGACAATGCATCAATGTTTCCCTAAAGGACACTTGAAAGGCAGAGAAAATAGCTTATTCACTTAACAATGAATAAGTTCCCACCCTGTCATTATGCTGAAAATAGAAAAAAAAAAAACCACCTTCTATTTTGAACATAACAAATGCACATTGTATGAACTGAGACTCCTCTCTTGAATCTGTATAAAACAGAATCAAAGCCTACATGAAACAGGCCTACTCTCTTGAATCTGTATTAAACAGAATCAAAGCCTACATGAAACAGGAGGTCTGTCTAGCACAGAATCTTAACCCAGGGGCCACAAACAGACTTTGGAACGTGCCTTTGCCCTCTCCTATTTAGAGATGTAAGGGAGTCGACCACTCACTCAACCCTTGCTGCCTCTATTTCAGAAGCAGCAGAAGGATGGGGGAAGTAGAAGCCACTCCTGGGGGGAGCTGGCTTAAAAGACAGCTCCCCCCAGCACCGTCTTCATGGTGCAGGGGGGCAGAGCTGCAGCATCCCGGAGCTGGTGTGAGCTAACCCCTTTCCTCTGGTAGCTCTGCATTTTAAATGTAGTAAGAGCCAGGCTGCTGCACACCCGACTCCTGCTACATTTAAACTACAGAGCCTCGGCAGGGGTAGCGAGTGCCCCCTTATCGACTAATTGAGTAGTCGATGGAAATTCCATTGACTACTCAATTAGCTGATAAACCACAATTTAACATCCCTACTCCTATTGTGGCTAGATGGGAAGACAGTGTGGAAAAAATTCTTCTTTTGCAACATGGGGTTACAGTATGAAGAAGGCTCAGAAGCATTCATCTGAAGCGTTGAGGTACCTCTCACCTTGCAAGGTTTCAATCCTGCAAAAACTCATATGCTTAGCTTTGCACTCAAGTCAACGAAACTAAGCAGATGCATGGCAGATGCAGGATCAGGCAGCCTGCACCCAGGTGCCTATGTAAAGACACCAGAGACTGACTATGCTTGCAACACCAGGGGATCCTTTAAAAAGGCTAGCTGCATGAGGGCAACACTTGGCCCCGTAAAGCCTGTCTTGCCTAGAGAACATTTTTATGGGTTCTAGGTATGAAGGAAAGTTTCTCTTTCATTCCCACAAGCATCTGTTATTACCTTTTACATGTATTCACAATGCTGCTACTCTTCATGACAAATCAGATTTTGCAGAGGGGAAACACGGCTGGCAGCAGCAGTTTGTAGAAATTAAGGCTAGTACACTGACACTTTAAGGCACTAACTTTCTGGCTGAGGGGAGTGAGAAAATACACCTAGGCTATGTCTACACTCGCGGCTTCTTGCGCCAGAAATATGCAAATGAGGCTAAGCATGGAATATCGCTGAGCCTCATTTGCATACCTAATGAGTACAGCGTGGTAAAAGAGGGCTCCTTGCACAAGAGCTATGCTCTTTTTTAACAGGTGTAAGCCCTCTTGCGCAGGAGCTCTTGCGCAAGAGGGAAGTGTGGACGCTTGGCAGGGATTTCTTACACAAGAAAGCCCTATGGCTAAAATGGCCATCAGAGTTTTCTTGCGCAAGAGAGCGTCCACACTGCCATGGGTGCTCTTGTGCAAAAGCACAGCTTGCACATGGCAGTGTGGACGTTTTCTTGCACAAGACTTCTTGCAGAAGA